GAGCACTCAGAGCATCCAGAGCTTACTGGGAGACAAGTGGGAGACAAATGAAAGACAAATGGAAGATAAGTATGAAATCATGCGGCCAGAGCACAGAGCATCCAGAGCTTACTGGGAGACAAGTGGGAGACAAATGGGAGACAAGCGTGAAATCATGCGGCCAGAGCACTGAGAGCATCCAGAGCTTACTGGGAGACAAGTGGGAGACAAGTATAGAATCATGCGGCCAGCGCACTCAGAGCATCCAGAGCTTACTGGGAGACAAATGGGACACAAGTATAAAATCATGCGGCCAGAGCACTCAGAGCAACCAGAGCTTACTGAGAGACAAGTGGGAGACAAGTGTGAAATCATGCGGCCAGAGCACTCAGAGCTTACTGGGAGACAAGTGGGAGACAAATGGGACACAAGTATAAAATCATGCGGCCAGAGCACTGAGAGCATCCAGAGCTTACTGGGAGACAAGTGGGAGACAAGTGTGAAATCATGCGGCCAGAGCACTCAGGGCATCCAGAGCTTACTGGGAGACAAGTGGGAAACAAATGGGACACAAGCATAAAATCATGCGGCCAGAGCACTCAGAGCATCCAGAGCTTACTGGGAGACAAGTGGGAGACAAGTGTGAAATCATGCGGCCAGAGCACTCAGAGCATCCAGAGCTTACTGGGAGACAAGTGGGAGACAAATGGGAGACAAGTGTGAAATCATGCGGCCAAGCACTCAGAGCATCCAGAGCTTACTGGGAGACAAGTGGGAGACAAGTAAAAGACAAGCCTGAAATCATGCGGCCAGAGCACTGAGAGCATCGAGAGCTTACTGGGAGACAACTGGGAGACAAGTGGGAGACAAATGGGAGACAAGTATAAAATCATGCGGCCAGAGCACTGAGAGCATCCAGAGCTTACTGGGAGACAAGTGGGAGACAAGGGTGAAATCATGCGGCCAAGAACACAAGCCCGGAGACAAACTCAAAATCATCCGGCCCGAGCATGCACCCCTTTAAAAGGAGTAAGAACCCCTCACTGGTAAACCTGTTTGGGGAAAAATACCATTTGATTTTCCCTTTTAAAAGCTTTGCAAAGGCAATTCGAATTCAAAAACTAACTTCCGAAATTGATTTCCCTTTTAAAAAGCCTTTTCAAGGGCAACGTTTAATAGAAAATGTTTTTCCAATTGATTTTCCCAATTGGTTTTCCCTTTTGAAAAGCCCTTTCAAAGGCAATTTTAACTAAAAATTGATTTTCCCAATTGATTTTCCCTTTTGAAATGCCCTTTCAAAGGCAATTTTAATTAAACGTTGATTTTCCCAACTGATTTTCCCTTTTGAAAAGCCTTTTCAAAGGCAATTTGAATTTAAAAAATCAATAAAAAATTGATTTTTGATCCGGAAGTCGTCCTCCAGCAGCGTGATTCGTGATTCGTTTCGTGACTCGTGGTTCATGATTCGCGATCCTGTCTTGGAACTTCTCCGAAATCTGCACTTGAGGGCTCACAAAGTGCTGCACCTGCCACGAAATCTGCACTGGAGAGTTCACAAAGCGCTGCCCCTGCCACGAAATCTGCACTTGAGGGCTCACAAAGTGCTGCCCCTGCAACGAAATCTGCACTTGAGAGTTCACAAAGTGCTGCACTGGCCACGAAATCTGCACTTCAGAGTTCAGCAAATGCTGCCCCTACCACGAAATCTGCACTTGAGAGCCCACAAAGTGCTGCACCTGCCACGAAATCTGCACTTCAGAGTTCACAAGATGCTGCCCCTGCCACGAAATCTGCACTTGAGGGCTCACAAAGCGCTGCTGCCACGAAATCTGCACTTGAGGGTCAACCAAGTGCTGCCCAATCACCTCTAACCTTGAGACCCCGGACCCTGAGCGTGACTCGTGCTGCCAAAGTGCTGCACTTGCACGAAATCTGCACTTCAGAGCTCACAAAGTGTGGCATCTGCCACGAAGTCGGTGCTTCAGAGTTCAGAAAATGCATGAAAATGCTGCCCCGGCCACGAAATCTGCACTTCAGAGTTCAGCAAATGCTGCCCTTACCACGAAATCTGCACTTGAGAGCTCACAAAGTGCTGCACCTGCCACGAAATATGCACTTTCAGAGTTCACAAAGTGCTGCCCCTGCCACGAAATCTGCACTTGAAACCTCACAAAGCGCTGCCCGTGCCACGAAATCTGCACTTGAGAGCTCACAAAGCGCTGCACTCGCCACGCAATCTGCATTTCAGAGTTCAGAAAGTGCTGCACCTGCCACGAAATCTGCACGTTGGGGTCAACAAAGTGCTGCCCCTTCCACGAAATCTGCACTTCAGGGCTCACAAAGTGCTGCCCCTGCCACGAAATCAGCTCTAGCCTTGAGACCCCTGACCCTGAGCGTGATTCGTGATTCGTGATTCGTCGTCTGTCCCTCTATCCTTTAAAAGACCCTGACCCCGAGCATGATTCGTGATTCGTCGTTTGTCCCTCTTACCTTGAGACCCATGACCCTGAGCGTGATTCGTGATTCGTCATTCGTGATTCGCGATCCTGTCTTGGAGCTTCTCCGGATCACGTCTCCACTTTTGGGGCTCCTGCCTCACAGGTCCACGCTCGGTGCGTTGATCCTCATTTTCGATCATTGCCGCACAGTCCGTCTGAGGTCTGCCAATGCCCGTCCAAATGAGTGGGTAAAAGCATGCTGGCCGCAGAACGGGACTCGTTTAAAAGAAGGCTTCAAATGGGTTTCCGCTCCTCCCCGCTCATGCAGTTGCTTCTGGCTTGGCTAGATCGTGCACCATACCGTGCGCAACACAGAGGTATCCAGAGTGAGATTTGTTTGCACCACGCGAGGCATTCGTCAAGGTTGCGTTGCCTCTCCCACTGGGTGGAACGTTTTATTCCTCATTAAAGTGCTCAGCGGCTTTACGCTGAAAACCGGGCGTGAGTTTGACCGGTTGTGCAAGTGCCTTGTCTCTCTCGCTGATGATCTCATTGCACGGTGGGTGTTCAATGCAGTTGATGACGCGCGGGAACCCTTAAAGACGTGAGTCTTTTGTTGGGTGACAGGTTTAAGATTGTGGCATGACAGTCAAGTCTCTATATGTTTGTCTCAACTTGTCAGGATACACGATGGGCAGAAGTCACTTGTTGTGCCCGACGCAACGGGCCCTGCTACATGTCCATTCGTGCCAAACACCGATATCTGGGCACCCTGATCAGTTATGGCAATTTTGGGCCATTCACACTGCAATAGACTTCATGTAGGTCGCGCGACTTACTTAGACAGATACTCCTTCGGCGCCACACCTTCAGCCTTTGGGAGAGGACTCGGCTTGCCTCATATGTTCTGGTCTTGCCAAGTCTGGCCTGACTGGCCGACTAAAGCGGCTTTGCGCTTCGCCTGCCAATGAAATCTGCACTTCAAGGTCTACAAGGCGCTGCGCCTGCCACAAACCTGCACTTCAAGGTCCACAAATACTCCGCCTGCCACGATTTCTGGACATCAAGATTCACATCGCGCCAAGGCGATTCCACCAAGAGAACTTCCAAAGACAACATCAAGATGCCAAAACGCAGCTTTCGCTCGAGACTTTCCGATTTCTGAAAACGAGCCACATTTCCAAAAGTCCATTGCACCTGCCACGAAATCAGACCACCACAATGTCCAAAGTACCGCGCCTGCCACGAAATCTGTACATCGACATTAAACCACTCCAATCTCCTGCACCTGTCATGAAAAGTCGGCCCACCAAAGCTCGAGGCTTCCGTTGCGCCTGTCACGCAAAATGATCACCAAGCCCGAAAGTGTGCCCGGCACCAGCGCAGTCTTGAAGAGCACCCGCTCACACCCAGCAGATTCTGCGAGCCTGCACAGTCGAAATGCGCGTCGAAATTTCCGAGGTGAATGAAAGCAGCCGCGAATTAGCCGGACACGCCGATGAGCACCTCTGATGAGACACCCGTCCTGAAACCCCTAGTGTGGACACATTTTTTGGGGAATGAGATGATTCTATATACTTTGTCTCCCTTTGCTTTGGCTCTTCTGGATGCTGGGCTGAAAATACTCGGGCTTGTCCCCTCTTTGTTTTCCATTGCTATTTGGATGCTGGCTGAGATGATTCTGCTTTGTCTCTCTTTCTTTCCCTTTGTTCCCCGAACAGTGCCTGCTGTTAGGGGTTCTATTGGCTTTCAAGCATCCTGTGACAAGATGGTCTCCCCACTTGTCTCCTTTTTTTGTCTCCTTCCCACTTGTCTCCTTTTTGTCTCCCCAGTCGCATCCTATCACTGGATAACTTCCCTTTGCCTGGCATCTTGTCGCGACATGATTCTTCCCCTTGGTCTCCCCTTTTGTCTCCCCACAGGCATCCTGTCGCGAGATGCTGGCATGCTGTCATGGGATGACTTCGCTGTTGTCTCTTCTCCCCCTTTTTGTTTCCCCAGCAGCTTTGCTGTGAGGGGTTCTCAAATCTTGCGTAGGAACGATCTGGGCAAAGATGATTTCTAACCTGATATGCATGTGCCGTGCTGGGCTGAGATGATTCTCCTTTGTCTCCCTGTGTCTCAAGTGCGCTTGTCCCCCTTCTTGTCTCCCCCACTCACAGCCTGTCACGGCATTTTGTTTTGCTTTGTCTCCCCACTTGTCCCCCTTCTTGTGTTCACACGGGCGTCTGTCGCAAGATGAATTTCCCTTTGTGTGTTTTTTGTCTCCCCATTGTCACGACATGATTTCCTCCGCTTGTGGTTCTTGCATCCTGTCACGAGATTTCCCATGCGTCCCTTCGTTTCCCCACTCGCATCCTGTCACAACATGCACCTCCGAAAGCACCCAATGGCGCGCTTTGGATAAGACAGAGTTATGCTTTTGGAATTGCAGCATCTTGTTTCTGTTTGTGTGTGCCATGGTTGTTGACAGCAAACCACCTGAACAAATCCGGTTTGGGGTCGATGCTGGTGTAGTTGATTGACCACTGGGACGAGCATGAAGCATGTTCCAGAACGTTAACGTTAGTCGGGTTGTCCGCTGATTTTTTAGCAAAAGTTCCACAAAGACAGATGAGGCCTTCAACGATATGATATAGGCTATAGATGGCTATAGGCTCCATTTCTTGCGTCCAACACTGCTCATTTGATAGATTCAAAGGAGCGTCGGGTGCATAAGTCATCCAGTGCGTTTCTATCAATTTCATTCAACTTGTTTTAAAGTCTTGCGATGCGGGTATTTCATCCACCATAGTTCTTGAGAGTTTCGGTTGGAAATCGAAGTGGGGTTTCCAATCAAAGCGATACCTCTGCAGACACCCGAACGAAAGGATCCCTCAGATACCCAGACAGTGAAAAACCATACAGGTCTACCTCAACACACAAAACACTGCAAGACAATAAGAGAGAGGCCTGACCGACACACACTATGAAACGACTATTGAACAAATATGAACAAATTATATGTGTTATAACAGATATATATATATATATCCTCTCCACCGCTCCCAGGATGAAGATGCACATCCAGTACGATATTTTTGATTGGGCTACAAAGCCAGTGCGTTTTGTCTTCTCACAGGCCGGCTAGGCACCAGGTGAGGGCAATCAATCGACACCTACAGTATCCCGTCGGCAGACACAAAGTCAGGAACGCCGAAATATTGATGCATAATGTGTATGTATGTGTGTATGTATACATATAAAGATATATAAAGAGGAACATATATACATATTCATATTCATAATTCGAGGTCCTTTGCAGATTGTTGAACACGCTAGGGCTTAACATCATAAAGTGGTGGCAAGCATTGTTGGATCGGTGCAAAAGGTTGGTCAAATGCAATGGATGTTTGGGGGGCTGCAGCATGGCATGTCCTCAGCCGCACTTTGGTCTCTTACATCAACTTGGCCCTGCCAGTCAGTCACCCTAAAACTCACCCTGTCGAACAACACTTATATACGCGGCAGTCCCCATAGGCCTGGGGTATATACCCCACGGATACTGAAATATTTATACAACCGGACACATTGGACTGGTTGCATACTAATCCTGCACCTTGTGCTTGGCTGCCCTGCCCCCAAATCATCCCTCCTGCAGTTACAAGCGGTTTATTGACCGCTGAATCCTATATGCAACGCACATCCACTGAGTCTGTTTGGAGACTATATGCTTTTGGGGTAACTCGTCCCAGCCTCTTACTTATTTGGTGCTCTGTGTATTTGCTGTCCACCGGTCACGCCAGGAAAAGAGCTACACCTCACATGCACAGCAGTTAGGCTCCTACACCGACAAAGCTCTGGGCGGCTTTGCCTGACTGCCCCTCTGTGCATCTCGCGGTGCATTTGGCAGCGTCTATCGTGGCATGTCTCGCCGTGCGACCTTAGATTTTTTGGTGGCAGTGTAAGTACGCGTTATTTCTGCAAATCAACATTGCAAGTGTTCTGTTCTATGTTCATTGGCACTGACCATTCCTGACCCTCTAGATCTTTACACTCTTGTGAAATACCACAGAATAATTGGTTGGCTCTAAAAGAACCGGCTCAATGACACCGCGGCCCAGTAATTGCTAGCGATGGGATTCTTTAGAGTCAATTCAATCAGTTAGAGCATGCTCAGTCAATGCATGTTTGAACATTGCCAGCGAATTCAAATGCACAGCTTCTTGATCTCCAAAGGTAGCGGCGGCCACCCAGAGAGGCAGCCCTTGGAAGATATGAACATGATGTCCTCATAGAGCAAATACGGTCCAGCAGCAGGCCATGCTCTGTTTGAGTTAGCCTTCTTGGAGAACATGCAGTTCAAGATTCAAAAGCAAATGCAAAGTTTTACAAAGCTGCAAGAGTTAGTAGCCAGCACTGATGCATAGAAAGGGTGCGATCCAGCCGCAGACAGAATCTTGAGAAGGCACAGCTGCTTGTAGTGAATATGGGCCTATGGACAAGCACTAGCCAGAGATTGATCAAACCACCCCAAGAGTGAGGAATCTAAGCCATATCTTTGCTGCTCCGTGTTTTTTTGGTGGTTTGACTCTGCCACACTAGCAGAGGGCAGCCGGTCCTTTGTTCTACAATCCAAAACGGTATATAAAGTATATCCATTTAAGACAGTGAGTGATTGTGAAGTAGAACTTCTTAATCAGCGCTCAACGCTCTTTCAACTAAAAAAGTGCCTTCATGATTTGAGAGGCTTGCAACAATGTCGTCTGAACATCTATGAACCATATGTTGGTTCATCTCGATTTAACTCATGGCTGCCCAAGGCACGATGAATACAACCAGGAAATAAATAGATCAACTGTGAAACTGAATTATATTGAATAGTATGTGTTTTGCAATTATGAAATTGTATATATGAAAAGGTAGTGAATTATTGAGAAGTGCAAGCAAGCAAATACCACGCACAATAATAGTAAACATTTAAGATAAAACATCAACAGACACCAAGCACTTCATGAAGTGTGGTGCAACCACAAAGCGGAATCACAACTACAAGAAGCTTCGAAGCACAAAAGAATAGACAAGACGGACGTTCAAATGACCCTTTCCACCCACAACACCCACCTCCAAAAAACTTTAACAGCCCATTCGCTTGCACAGAACCACAACATACAACGAAGATCAGGACTAAAGTGACTAAACCAACACGCAATAGTTAAAACGCGCAAAGCTCACAAGTGCTGAATATAAACTATAGAAACACCGAAACACGTGTATACCTACATTGCGGTGGTTGAATTCAGGGTCATTGAGGTTCCGGTGGTCGTGTCTTGCTTCACATCCGCTATGAAATGTCCATCACCGATGTCTCATGCCCGCGAGTCGCATGGGCCCGCTGCACGACGAAAGATGAGGCCGCTGGCTTTTCTTGGAAAGATGAGTCGCTCTATTGACAGAGAGAAAAAGATTCTCAAGTGTTAAGTAACTTGCTCTTTTTTCGATCCAACAAGGATGGAAGTTGAAGTGGATGGCCTCTCTATGAGATCTATGAGTAGTATGTCCACTTCTACTGATGCTGCTGATATCACGGCTATTCACAATCCAATCTTCTATGGAAAGCCATTCGCGGTAGGAACGAACCCTGGCGAACCGCAGCAGGGAAAAGCGCAGACCTTGGGTCATTGCGATCTCGGACTCCCCGACAAGTAATGAGCAAGGTAGAGCAGCAGAGCGAGCAGAGGAGGCGTTG